TACGACTCACGCAATTCTGACTTGCGTGCTGCAACAATGGACTTGCAGTATTGGTGCCAGATTGGCGTTGGTGACCGAAGAGGAGGATTTGACTGGTTCTACCTTCGCTGGCCGAAGGGCATTGATCTAGACGAAAATAAGGAGGTCGTAAGGGTCATCAGCCAAGACACATATGTTTCAGGAATGAACCTTTTGGCGCGAGACAGAATTACAGGTGACAAGGTCTCGGCGCAGCCCGTCGAGCAGGAACTCATACATCAAACTTGGGAGTCTTGGGGGCTCGATATTGCCAGCTGGGAGGATTCAACCGGGCTTCAGACTTGGGCACAGAGCCTGGAACCTATCATTACCACGCCGGCAGCCAGACTTGCTGCATTAGAAGCCTTTGATGGCATGGCGGACGCGATGAGTGTGGCTGATATATGCTCTTTAAAGTCTTTTGCCGCATTCAAAGAGGTAAGATGATCACGATTTCCGAAGAGCTTTGTTACTAACTGTTTCGCAGGAGGCCATGGATATCACGCAGCCCGAATCGTCCGTTCACGACGATTTGCTCGTGGGACTCAACTACATCGACACGCCTTCCGTTACCTACTATGATACTTTGGCCATCGATATGCCCTCTGTCATAAAGTCTCTTGCAAAATCGACTTTGCGGGAGTACACAAAGACCGTTCAGGAAGGGGATGCTGATGATCTCCGTCCCTTGGACGAGAAACAGACGATTGAATACGTTCAGTCGAGTTTCACAACTACGCTTCCAGGCACTCCAGCTGTCGCGCGTATTGACTTTGCATTTGCTTTTGATCCGATTGCCACCGAAGGGCCCAGCCTGCAGCCGACCGCATGGCTGGATCCTTCTGTCTTTGATCGGACATTGAAGCTGATCGCTCTTGACGTCGCACCCTTCGTTCGCGGCATAGTTGCATATGATTTGCATCTCCAGAGGCAGCGGCTCAAGCTGAGCAACCTAGTGAGCGAAGGTGGACAGGCCAAGCCAGGCACAAAGCGGATGAGAAGCACGAGAGCGGCTCTTTCTGCTTTGGAAGGCGGCACGAGGAGCACGGTACGGGGTGAAAAGTGGTTCAAGGTTGATGTAAACCCATATTTGGTGGCAAAGACGGCTGGAAAGGGGTGGACTGGCATTGAGGTAGAGGAGTCTGAGGCCCCCTCTCCCAAGGCGGCTTCCATTGCTAGCTGGGAGGATGCCACGTCGCCTGAGCCGTCGCCGGTCAAAGCTCCGGTAAAGAAGGCTCCAGGACGCCGGGGCAGACCACGAAAGGAGGTGGTCATTGACGAGGATGCCGATGCAGACGAGTCTTGAGGTTGAGACTTGGCTCCAAGGAGTTGATTTGCAGAGGTAATCGGCACTTACAAAACAAAGGTTCCCGTATAAAGTTTTAAATTCAGCATTTACGAAGGGGTTCCCATACAAGAAGATCACAATACAGCATTTACGAAGGGAGTTCCAATACAAGGTTGCATTTGGGGGGGGGGGGGGGGGGGGGGGTGAAAGACAAAAAAAAAATTAAAAAAAAAAAAAAAAAAAAAAAAAAACAAATATTTAGGAAAAAAAAAAAAAAAAAATTTAAATTAGTTTTATAAAATAGCAAACCAAACCCCAAAAAAAAATGCCGCCCCCCCGAGGTAAAA